AAAAAAAAAAAAAAAAAAAAAAAAAAAAAAAAAAAAAAATACGATGGCCTCAAGCTTTTTTAAAATTTCCATATTATTCATAAGCAATTATATGTGTATAAATGTAGAATACAATTTTTGGTAGCACCAATGCGAAGTTCTAGCAAGATGTTTAATTAAAGCTTTTTTTTTCTTTTTTTGTATAAAATATAATTTATATAATATATCTGATAAACTATACAATATGTGATACAAGTCATACTACGTAATATTTTTATTAAAAGTTATATATGTTGTGATGTTCACATAATTACATATATAAAAAGTCTTAACTCTTAACATATATTTTAATGTTGTTTTTTTTTTGAGACCTTACCAATTTTTTGTCGTTCTGAATATTTCGACTTTTAGACATTTTATGCATTACTGAAGTACTTAACAGAATTATGTATTTAGGCAATACTTTTTTCAAAACTAGTGCATTGTATAGATACATATGCAAAACTTTAAAGCCTAACATGACATCGGATCTAAAATAAATAAGGGCTCATTCACCCTATCATTCAGTTCAACTAACGTCTCAAATGAACAACCGATGTCAACCCAAAATGAGCCAAAATATCTTCTCGTTTGTCTCTTTTTGTTTGTCAAAAACTTAAATCTATTCGGAGATTTTGGATTGATCGGTTTTAATCAGTAATTTCGACCATTAATCGGATAGTCAACCAAATTGTTTTAAGGATACAACTTCGAGCACTATAACTTTGGTTTAACTCGAGCCCAAAACCCCGTTTTTACGTATGACCTAAAAATAACTAGTATAAAAACGAAACAAATCCGCGCTAGAGACCTATTGTGTTCATTGTGTTTGTGATTATTTAAATCTATACCAGTCTTCAATGAATCACTTAATTCTACTATTTCAAATATAAAAATGTGATGTAAGGAAATATCTTGGTGATGATGTTGACAAATTTACTGAGTAAAACAGTCGTAACTATGTCCTGTATTTTATGAACTCTCAACTCAAAAAAAAACCGTTATGTCATTGAAGGTGCCTTAACTCGTCGAGTACCGTCATTATAGACACAATTATAGAACAATAGGTTGCGGTCACCGGTGACCGCTTGGTGTTTGACAGTTTAAGGAAGTCTGCTACGTTTGATTTGCTGCAGTTTCCAATGAACATAGTTACGCATCGTCGTCGTCATCTTTAACTTTTAAGTTCCTTTAATTCAGTGGCTTCTTCACTTTCGTCTTTAGTCTTAGTACTTTCTAACTTATCATTTTGAGGGACAACGTTATACTTATCACCTTGTAACTCTGCCTGTATCTCTCTCAGATCCTTCCTCTTGGTTTCCATCACAAATATGTAACTGAACACGCCCCCACCAAACGCGAAGGCAGCAAAGATCCAAAATACAGTCGTCAAGCCACATAAGTCTTTGACTCTCTGGTATCCAAGCCCTAAACCAAATCCTAAGGCCGCAGAAAAGAGGTTGAGACAGGTAATAGCAATAGCCTTTATATTGATAGGAAATATTTCTGCAGGGATAATGTAGATAAGGGAGTTGAAGCCTACAGTGGAGATGACGTTGGCCAGGATTATGCCGAGGAGTGGTATGAAGCTGACAGTGGCTAGGGTGCTAGTAGTGACCTCAAGAACTTCTTGCATGAAGAAATAAACGCCGACAGCTCCCAGGGAAACACCGGTGCCAATGTAGGAGAAGATAAGTAGTGGCCGACGACCCACTCTATCTACTAGCACTGAAGACATCATACCTGAAAACCGTATGTAAGTACTTTATATTACATTGAACACGGTAATAACTGCAGGTAAATCAAACTACTATCATAATTGAATAGACGGGTAGTGGAGTAGGTACATACCGACAACAAACGAGACTGCACCATAGATGATAAGGGCGAGCGATGTCTTCATATCCGACTTGGTCTCTTCAATGATCCACCCCAAGTATTGCCTTATAACTACAGCACCAGTCATCATTTGTGTCAACTTTAATCCTGAAAACATAAAAACAATATTGAAACATAAATTACATCGATCTTTAATTTTTTTTTTTTCTATATAGTATCAGTATAGTCCCAAATCACATCTTTGTGACGAACAAGTTACGAACGAATTTTTGTCCTTTTTTTTATCAATTTGGATATTGAAAAAATCAGTCATCATTGGCCGAGTGGTCGCAATTGCGACTGCTGGGCAAGGGGTCTCGGGTTCGATTTCCGGGTCGGGCAAAGTATTACTGGGCTTTTTCAAAAAATCTCAGTAGTAGCACGGAGTCTGGAATTGTGCCCAGTATATGGCAATGGCCTCACCCCCTATTACATGGGACTCATAACATAAATAGTGAAAAGTGAGTGTTACATTGTACAGTGGCACCCTTAACTATCCAGAATGCTTTTGTGACGTTACTGACCAGTAGTGTCCAACAGACTCATTTTATAAATGTAAGGTATAATGAAAGAAAAAAAAGATATTTTGAATGAAAAAGTCAGTATAATGTATTTCAGTGATGTGTATTTACACTTATTTACTTATAGATATTACAATTATTTTTTTTCCAGAATATTCAGTGCATGTATTGCGTTTGCATTCAGTACAACACTGTTTAGAAGCCCTTGATAATTTCGAAGGGTAAATATAACAATGCTTCTTCCTTTTTCCATTGTAGCTTCATATATTGGATTGCCAAAGACATGGCACCAGTATTCTCTAAAATCTATACCTCCCTGTTTATTGACGCTTATAATCAATAAAAGACCTCGGAGTACTTGCATTTCGATTTTATATCTGTTTGATGTCGTTATTGTCTGATTTTATTTCCATCGATTTTGTAAAATTCTAAGCCCTTTAGTATTGGTATATTTTACTATTATTTGTAATACGTGATCGTCGAAAAAATGGCTGAAACTGTCTATCGGATCTATTATAGTTTGGCCCGGAGGAGGAAGAATCACCTTATGGATACCACCGCGAATTACGTTGTGTCGAGGCGTTCGGTTTTGCCTGTTAGGTTCTGATTTCCAAGTTGTTATCTCTTCCTTTATAAGTGTAAATAGAGACGTATTCTTGTAATCATCATCACTGTTATTCCATAATTGTTCATCATCGTTTTCAGATACTGGTTCTGTGACATTACTTTATTATCAGAACAGCTGTCAACAGCTAAATTCTCATCATCACTATCGCACTTATGGACAAAAATGTTTTCATCGTCACTTTCAACAAGAGCACGTTGAATTTCACTTTGTGTTAGTTGCCGTTTAGCCATATCATTCAATAAAAACGAATTAGAACATGACTACATTTTGACAAGAGTTTCTGATTACTGATACGTGATACGATTACAAAAACTATGATTATAACACAAACAAAGGTCTAACAACCGCTTTTGCCCACCCGACACCATAAGATTATAAGTAAATGTAAATAAAAACAATCTACCTTCACACTTGAATCAAATAAAACGATATTGTGTCTGTTGGACACTTCTGGGTTGATGAAGTACTATTTTCGTTTATTGCCCAAAAATAATAAATAATTCACGTTACAAATATTTTCATTGCACATTTAGATTCGTAAAACATTGGCGATAAATTAGATAAAAGGCCGATTCATAAAAATAAAAACTTTAGTTTTTATGAAAACATAAACGCAAAATTGTGTCCGCGAGACACTTGTGGGTTGTTAAGGGTTAAGTGCCGTAATGTACACGTGTACACTGCCTACCCCTTCGGGGATAAAAGGCGTGATGTTATGTTATGTCAGTCATCATTATCATGAATCCAATCACAGCCACTGCTGAACAAAAACATCATTACGAGGATGCTGCTGCCCATCTGCCAATGGTAGGTCATTATTTTGAGTTTCCGAGTGTGTCAAGTCATCAATAAAATGGTACTAACCTACAGATATTATAATAGCTCTTCTGTACTGTCCTCCAGTAAATAACTCCTTCACAGAGGTGGAGTGTCTCATCTCATCTCTTACATTAGCTTGTAACGCCAGCAGTTCATCTTCTAAAACCTGGAACGGGTAACATCACATCACATCATCACTCTGCAACTGTCCTAGTACTGGCCAAAACCTCATCTCACACAGAGAAGGAATGCGCTTTAATCACGTGTGCCCAGGGCATAAATTGAAATGGGGCTAAGGTTTTATTAGCCAATCACAGCAGCTGTCTAATAGTGAACGTACTAAGATGAAACACTGAATAATTCCCTATTGGACGAAGAACGAGAGGATCACAATAGCGCCTAATCAATCACCAACAGCATATATGCCCACTGCTGATCAAAGCCTCTTCTCACTTCGGAGAAGGTTGGGCATTAATCACCACGCATTCCTCAAATTATAAGACCAGGTTTCCTCACGATGTTTTCCTTTACCGTTTGTCAATGGTGTATAGATAGTCTTAGAAAGTAAATATAACTCGGAAAAAGTCATATTTGTACTTCCCGTTGGTAGGTTTGAAACCGCGCCCTCATGCATGAGAGGCGGGCGTCTTAAATCTCCGAGCCACCACGATATTTAGCGCCTAATATGGTGAGCAAAAATACGATAAGACATTGTAAGTTTCTGTCTCATTAAATGTTAAGATATTTCCTTAAAGCCGAAAGAAAATTATATAGACATCATACATATGTATGTGCATACGTAGGTACACATAATTTTTTAATATGTTCCTCAAGTCAGTTTAAAAAAAATATATTTCTAATTAACATCCAACAATGGTGTCATGCATTGTAATAATGAATTATTTCCTTGTAACTGAATTTTAAAATGACTTACAGTGAATGATAATACTAACGCTGCTGAAATACACAAACGCCACTGAATTTGAAGTCGCACTTAAGTATAGTTCTGTCACTACCAACTCTTTGTAAAATGACAGAGACCGCACGATATTTAAGTACAACCTAAAAATGCGTAGCCTTTCAGAATACTGGCGTAAATTTGATACCATTAAGCAAAACAATATTTTTATTTTTTTGGGACAAGCCCGCCACAACCTCCGAAAACCGCTGCAACTCCTGTAAGCCAGGATCTACTGTAGATACAACCATGAAAACACCAGAACACTGAAGTCCGGCGCGTCCCAGGGACATGAGTAACTGTCTTGGTTCCCGCAACGAAGTGAATCAGCGAACGAACGAAGCAAAACAATATTGTAACATGAGAGTTGATAGTTAGGTTCCGCCCAGCTGCGGCCCAGATGTTGCACAAGGGTCATTTTTTGTCTTTGCTCGGACGCACCCTTAACGGAGTGAAAGCGAACCCCGCCAACGACAATGGACAGCGAGAGCGTGTAGCCGCTATTCCGCGAGGCACCTGGTTTCATATTAACTAATTTTAAATTAACGCCTTCTTGTGTTTTTTTAAGGACTTTCACTATAGTTTTCGCACATTCGAACCTCATTTTCATTCCACAACCTGACCTAGAGGCTGCAACAGATAGCTCCAAGATTACAATATGTATTTTAAATATATTATATGAAGTTATACCACTTTTACGCATTTGTGTATTTAATATATGTAATATTCATTAATATTAATTATTATTAATTATATTGTTAATTATTATTAATTAATATTAATAATATATATAACATATAAATAATATATATAAAATAATTAACAGTATATATAATATATTGTTAATTATTATTAATTAATATTAATTATATTAATAAGGAACTATATTTACCTACTTGTGTGTCATCGTTCAAGATAGCTAAGTATAGTTTATGTCCACGGAACAGGACTGAAAATCAACTGTATAAACTGCTGTTGAATTTGTTTAAATCTATACCTATTTTTAACTTCAACAATAGGTACAAAAACTAAGGATGTAGGTATACTTATATATATACTAATCTTAATTGTGTGTATTTATGCAGTTTATATTGTAAAATAATATATAATATAAACTACAAAATAAATACAATGATAAACAGTATTAATACCATTGAAAACTGTTTTATTATTGTCTAAAGAATAGAGCAGATTCCAATTTATTATAATAATAATTGTTTGTAAATAAAGACTTATAATTATTATTATGCTATGTGTTATTACATCTTATACTTCTTATACTATTATTATATAAAGCGGAAGAGTTTATTTTTTTGTTTGTTTGTTTGAATGCGCTAATCTCCGTAACTACAAGTCTGATTTGAATAATTCTTTTTGTGTTGGATAGCGCATTTATCGAGGATGGCTATAGGCTATAAAACATCACGCTACGACCAAAGAGGCGAGCAGAGCGAGTGAAACCGCGCGGAAGTAGCTAGTTATTAATATGGACAAACGTCAACTGGTAGGGGAACACACATCGTCTCACGGCTTTCAGTGTAACAAACAATTTTATCTAAGTTCTACCATCACAATTCCTGGTAATGTTTGAAATCCGAAAATGTCTTTCACGTCAAACAATGGCAGATTTCTAAATAATATAATTACCTTCTCATCCTTATATCCCCTTAAAATCCTTAGTGATGATCGAGCACCTTCCAGATTGTTATTTTTCAAAAGGAAATATGGCGTCTCCGGGATCCAGTAGCACATAGCACAGAATAGAAAGGGTAGGACCAACATGACTTGGTTTAAGGTCTCATAAGGGAGGAAGGGACCCAAAATCATAGTCAGAAGGGTCCCAAACTTGAACATGAACCCCGTAATGACTGCTAGTGTACCCCTCACATCCTTGTCAGCAATTTCTGATAGGTAGTAATTGCTTACCTGGAAAAAATAAGGAAGCGGTTAAACATCTATTTAATTTTTGTTCGCCGAGTCGCAAGTGCGACTGCCGGGCAAGGGTCTCAGGTTCGATTCCCGGATCGGGCAAAATATTATTGGGTTTTTAAAAAAAATTCTTAGTAGTAGCCCGGAGTCTGGAATTCTGTCCGGTATATGGCAATAGGCTCACCCCCTATTACATTGGACTCATAACATAAATAGTGATAAGTGGGTGTTGCACCTCTGCCTACACCTTCGGGGATAAAAGGCGTGATGTTATGTTATAGAAGTAACTTAGCAGTTCATTCGATTTTTACAGGGCGATGCGCATGCGCTCCACAAATTGCTGCGCGTTTTTGTGAGAAGTATTTGGGACAATACTGTTTATAAACGCACCCGAATACAATTACATCACTTTTATACTACTTTCACATTGATTAAACGACATTTTGGCAAACGGTTTTCATGATTAAGGGCCCCAGACTAGCTTGAAACTAGTCAGGCATCCTCGAAAATCAAAGTAGGTCATTTAAACATTACTTAAACTGTCAAACACCAAGCGGTCACCGGTGACCGCAACCTATTGTTCTATAATTGTGTCTACATAGACGGTACTCGACGAGTTAATCTAGTATATACTTACTGTGCTGACCATTCCCGTCCCACAGCTCCATGAGAATGACGTAATGCATAACAACCATGCTTTTAGAGCAAACACGACGATTATCTGAAAATATTGATACAATACATGTATTATTAAAACAAATATGTTAATACGTTAGTTAGTTTATTACCTACGTGTGGTTTCACATAGATCACATTTGGGAGTTACGTAAAGAGTGTTTTTGCATACAAACAGAATTCTCGTTTATTTCTTTTGTAGAAATGTTTTGTGTTGAACACATAATTTAAAATACATAAAGCGTCTCTGAAACTAAAGCCTCGTATTCACTAGACAACATTTGGCGAGGCATGTTGCACAACGTTACTCTACGAAGTCAGCGACAAAATTTTGTTTAGCTACGTTTCCTGGCAATTGTTTATTGTGCGTCACATCTCTGCTCGATAAACAATAAACCACGCATTATGTGTTGGAGATTCATGATATGAGTGATACCACGGCGACAACCGACTTGAACCAACGCGTTGTGTTTCGTCATGGGAGTGAGTATACCAGAGGCCCAATTATCCTCCCCTCCCCCTCAACTCCTAATCCCTAAAGGCCCCAAAAGGCAGGTGTCCATGGGCGACGCCGATTTCTTACCACCAGGTGATCTGTCTACTCGATTATCGACCTATCCCATGACACTCCCTCCCGCCTCACCCAGACGGGAGCAGACATTGGATAACTTTCCCCCCTTAAAAAAATAAAAAAAAATCCCATAAAAGAAATGTTGCGCTACACTACCAGCTAGCAATATCCCTCGATGTTGTACAATGTGCAATGCTGTCAAACGTTCCAAGCAGGTGCATACGAGGTTTTAATATCCATGACGCACATGGTACAGAATAACATTTAAAAATAAATAGCTTTTATATACATTTTAGGTCGAATCAAGGTGTAAAAGAAAATTCCTGTCAGTTTGTTTTAGAAAGTGAAGCTACGTAGGCACGCATACCAGAACATAATAAGCAAGCTGTGTTTGGCGACTAATTCTCAATAATCGACCCATTGTTGAATAGACAAATATGGCGGAAGTATGTATTACCGCGCACGATGACTCAGTCGGTAACACAGAAGGTACACATTATCATCGTTAAATATTCTCATCGACAATTTATTTAATAGTGACTCCAACTATTAACGGATATAGTGTAGAGATAAGTAGGTCTATAGTTCTCTGGCCGGCTATAAATATAAGCAAATAACATTAACCCATTGAGTTTTTTGATTAACGACTATTTAAGCTATTTAATTTAGGTGTTAGACAAAAATGTAGGTCTATTTCTTTTGTACTAACTACTCATTAATAATCTGATAATTTATAAACCCCAAATCTTGAATAAAATTATATTCATTAAAACCCATATCATATAAAAACCAAAAAGAGAATATATAATAACATAAATCTCAAAAAAAACATCGAAAACTTATTTTATAATTAAAGAGCATAATATATAACAACTAAATTATTTAATAAAAAGAAAATTACAAAAATTATACCCCGCATCAATATCACCGGGGAACGTTCCCAGAAGACTGGCAGCATTGCCACGTTTAATGGCAATTGAGATACATACAGTTTCAGGCCTGTGGTGTGGTCATATCATAACTCAACACCTAATTGAGAACCTCATCTTTTTTGAAAAATCGAATAAAAAACTTACCGATCCAAGTGCAATAGGTATAGCACTTCCCAGGATAGTAGCTCGCCTCCCGAACCTGTCAGCCAGGTACCCAGTAGCCAATGTACCCACTGCAAAACCTATGGGATTTACTGCCAGCATTGTTGACATTTCATACTGAAAAGAAAAAAAGGCCATTGCTTACATATATGCAGAATTCATCTATATTTATTGAATTTCTACCAAACCCTTCGTATAATAAATGTTGTTTTCTAAATCTTGATCATCGAATCAGTCAGAGTCTGCTGAACGTCTATATCATTCGTAAAGCAATATAAGCCATGTGTTCTACAAACCGTTTCTTTCAAATTGATTAATTTGACCACAACTGCCAATAACAATTGGGTAAACAACTCTGCAGGAGATGCACAAGTATGTAGCAGAACTCTTATACACCTGGATATATATATATATACCGAAAACAAACAAACGTGCAAGCCGACTTGGGATTTGGATCGCTGAATGTCCAGATTTGCAGCCATATTTATTAAAAAGTCTATTAACCTCTTGAGTAAACAAATAATCTCATATACAAATATGAGATATAATAGAAAATACTTTGTGTCTCGCGTAGGTCTACGTTCCGACATATCACAGGTTAAATTAAAATCTTGATCAAAGTATAACCTGAGACTTTGTACCTACTTGATAAAATAAACATAATCGAGACAGTTGCTCATCTTTTTTTTAAGGCATAAGCCGGTAAACGAGCAGACGGATCACCTGATGATAAGCAATCGGCGTCGCCCATGGACACCTGGAACACCAAGGCGTTACAAGTGCGTTACCTGCCTTTTGGGGATTGAGAATTTGAGGATTGTGGAGGATTCGAGGATTTGGGAGACTGGGGAGGGGGGGTAATTGGGTCTCCGGTAACCTCACTCACACGACAAAACACAACGCAAGTTGTTTCACGTCGGTTTTCTGTGAGGCCGTGGTAATCACTCCGGTCGAGCCGGCCAATTGTTGCCGAAGCATGGCTCTCCCACACTTAAATTCTATGTTCAGCAGTCAGCAGTGAACGTCTTGTAGCTGATACTAAGTATTATATGGTAATGATGATGACATGATGATGAGAAAGCCCCAAAAATACAGAAATGATCCAACGATTTCCGGTAATATCTGAAGTAACGGGCATTTTTCTTGATTTATTTTTTATATTTAATAAGATGGCGTCGACCATCTCACCGGGTGGAAAGCGATGATGTGGCCGATGATAGACATTTTATTTTAACATAACATCACGCCTTTTATCACCGAAGGAGTAGGCAGAGGTGCACATTATGGCACTTAATACCACTATACAATTATGTTACGAGTCCCATGTAATAGGGGGTGAGCCTATTGCCATATACCGGGCACGTTTCCAGACTCCGTGCTACTACTGAGATTTTTAAAAAACCCAGTAACACTTTGCCCGACCCGGGAATCGAACCTGAGACACTTGCGACCACTCGGCCAAGGAGGCAGCCATTTTATTTTAATTAAAGATTATTATAATATTATTAAATAACAAACATGTACCTAAGCATAAGTATCATTGACGTCATAGAACTTCTGCTATCAATAGGTACACATTTTCCTGGCCTGTATGACAAATGACCATAATATTATAATGGCACTGCAAACAATTAATTATGAAACTTGCTTCTACTATCCACGCCACGTTAGCCCATTTGAGTACAAAGCGTTTCATTAATGTACTCGCTTAATGCAATAAATAAATGCAACAAATTAAATATTATGAAAGCTCCTAGTTTAGCTTTCATTCTTTATTTCTCTGTAACAGTTTTTTACTACTACCTCATTGGCCAAGTAGTCGCTAGTGCAACTGCCGGGCAAGGGGTCTCGGGTTCTATTTCCAGGTCGGGCAAAGATTTACAGGGTTTTTTCTCAGTAGTAGCACGGAACCTGGAAATGTGCCTGGTATATGGCAATAGGCTCACCCGCAATTACATTGGACTCATAATATAAAATAGTGAAAAGTGGGTGTTACTGACGTTATTAAGTGCCGTAATGTGCACCTCTGCCTTCGAGGATAAAAGGCGTGATGTTACGTTTTTTACTACATATTTACTTTTAAAACTAAGTAAGTACGTACAACTAAAATTATTTTCACAATCGGTCATGTATCTTTTCTCAATATACATAGTTTGATCTCATAAAAACTATATAGGATAACTTACGATGACAAAGGCTACCCCATGATATAGTTAAGTCATTCGGAGAACAGTCCCTCATCTCTGTGGACGCAAATGTATGTGAAATCAATGTTTGTAAAGTACTTATTTCTTTTTAGGGAGAAGCCTGCCACAACCTCCAAAAACACTGTAGCGCCTGTAAACCAGAATCTACAGTAGACCTACAATCAACTAAACGTCGAAACAATCAAGTCTGAAATTATTAAAAAAAAACGGTACCCCACACTACAATTTTCCTCTGTGTCGTATGTGCATTTACAAACATATAAGTTTACATAGACATGACACCCAGACCGGAAACAACAATTAGTGGATGACACAAAAACTTGCTCCGTGCGGTAATCGAACCCGGTACACGATGGCCAGTTGCCCAACCACCGCTCATTCATATTTAACCACTCTATCATTAAAAAGGAAGAAAACATCATTAGAAAGGAAAAATAGAAAGGGATACTAAATAAATTATTATGTTTTCGGCTTACTCACGTAATTATTTGACAAGGAACTCGACTAGTTTCAGTAGCACTCGACTCGACACTTGACCTTAGCAGCGCGTCACTGCATCGCAGGTCGCGAAATGCTGCTCATGAATATGAGCCTCTAGCATGGCTTGAAACTAGTCGAGTTCCTCGTCAAATAATTCCGTGAGTAAACCGAAAACATAATAATTTATTTAGTCTCACGAAATTTATAATACAAGGATACTTATATAATATTCTTACCGCATTGATATCTACATTGGTCTCGTTGTTCTTGAACTTCGGTAGCACTGGTGTCGGCCAGGCAGAAGACACTCCAAGTGTCATCATTGCCATGGACACTGCAAACATATTATGATGTCAATAACTCCTGTAATTACACCCTTTCTCTATAACTTCGCTCAACAATAACAACTTGCTATTGTTTATCGAAGCTCTAGAGGTATTATTATTAGTTTCTGTCACTACTCAAATCATAATCTATATATATAAAAATCAATTGCTGTTCGTTAGTCTCGCTAAAACTCGACAACGGCTGCACGGATTTATCTTATCTTGGTCTTGAATTATTCGTGGAGGTCTAGGGAAGGTTTAAAAGGTGAGAAAAATTCGAATAATTGCCGGGAAAATCCTCAAAACAGCATTTTTCTATTTCCCATACAAACGTTTTCTAAATAAAATGGAGAGTCAATTTGTAATTTAATACCGCTGCATAAAGTTCAAATTATTTATTACGATTTATCTGAAAACCTGAAAACGGATATCTGACAGGTAACATTACTATGGTAACCAACCTGATGATTTGTAATTGTTATGGCGTCCTACTTCCATAATATATTTTGGCATCAACATATAAAAATGAAGTTCTGTGGGTTTTCAAGGAATAATATTAGTATTCAGCTGCATCAGAGATTTTAAAGACAAAATACGAATTCAATTGACTGAATACAATTTATTCATAGACTAGCCTCTGTCTGCGGCTTCTCTCGCGTTCTTTTAATGGGGTGAGGGAAGGATTTACAATAAAAAAATGAAATGATGCACGATTCTATGCTGGTCACAAATAACCCGCATACCAATTGTTAGCTTTCCACATTGAAAATTGCAAAATACCCCATACAAACTTTCACCTCTGTTTCACGGAAGTGGAAGGGGGTTAGAAAAAGACAAAAAGTAGCCTATGATACTCTCCATCTTTTCAACTATCTCAAATCAAAAACCTTCCTGACTCCGTTCTGTCGTGAAATACGGACAAACAAACAAACAAGCACATACAAATTTATATTATTAGTATACCTCTACATTTCTTAAGTCATCTGAGATTTGTGTGACAAGTGAGTTTACAAAGTCAATGTGTCATAGATTTTTTTTATACTATGGTATTAATATTAAGGTATGCAAAGAGGTTGACAGCAGTCTAAGGAGATAAAACCACGAATAAAATATTTTCAGTTTACTTGAATTCGTATTTTTTATATGTATATCAAAAAAACTAGCTAAATGCACATAGCTAAAAAATAATATTAGTCCTTTTCATTTTAGACCGTCAAGGCCAAATTCACTATGATAGTTTGCTGTTTTTTTATGGCATAAGCCGGTAAACGAGCAGACGGATCACCTGATGGTAAGCAATCTGCGCCGCCCATGGACACCTGTAACACCAGAAGTGCTAGAAGTGCGTTACCGGTCTTTTGGGAATTGGTAATTTGAGGATTGTCAGGGATTGGGGGGGCTGAGGGAGGGGTAATTGGGCCTCCGGTAACCTCACTTACACAGCGAAACACTCCTTTAGGTAACCGAGGGCTGGGCTCGCTGTCATTGCAGCGGAAAGTCCCCTCTTTAAAAGTGGCTTTAGAGAGGCCATCAATGCGAGGACCGCCCGGAGAACACGGTGGAGCATATCGTGGCGGTGTACCTTGCATGGGCTGAGCACCGCCGTGTTCTCAGGGATGTAGGAAACGGTGACCTCTCGCGTTCGGCTCTGGTTCAGGCCATGGAGCGAGGGGGATTGGGATGCAGTCGCATCATTCTGCGAAGCAGTTATGCTTGCCAAGGAGAAAGCGGAGCGCGTGAGGGAACGAACTTCCTCACGCCCCAGCCGTCGCGGGAGACACTCTGGGCGTCGGAGATCGGCCGACCACAGGCCACCGTAAGTGCGGGTCTGTAGACGAAGAGCAAGGGTAGCTCGCCACCCGACCAGAACCAGTCCCGTGCATACTGCGCGCGCCTTACAGAGCCATGACACCATCATAGATGGAGCCCAGTAGGGCTGATGCTCGATACGGTGCCGCGGGAGGCCTAACGAGTTGACGGGGCTCCGGCTCGACGAGCAGGAGTAGGAACGGAGTGGATTTTAGTCAGTAAGAATCTGTCACTCCCTCTCACCTAACCCAAGGCGGGAGAAGTGATTGGATGATTTTCCGACCTCAAAAAAAATCTCCTTTAGGTAATGACAACCCGATGTGTAAAAAACCACCAAAAAAACTCCTTATATTATTGGTATTTATTACGCTGTGGAAATTATGGACAATAGAGCCAAAGGGGTGTATTAAGTCTTATAGAGGACATTAATATCAACATTAAAGTCCATGTATCATATGTAACTAACCTAATATCAGAATACCTATTTTTTCATTTAAATGTTTGCGATAGTAACGCATGTCGTACCGGTACATATCAGGTGGCTTACTCTTGAATCCAATTCCGATCGATCGACATTGGTATTGTAAAATTTCGTACTCTTGAGTTGCAATACTAGCGCCCATTTCATTCGTATTGCGTGGATATTAATGAACTATTATGTATTGAGTTTGGCTTTATATTCCGTATTCAAAATTCTACTTTAACAGTTACGATTGGGGTTGTATAGTTTTGACATGGGATAATTATTAAGATTTTATTGGATTGAAATTGCATTAACATTGAGATTGGTTTCAAGAGTAAGCACCCAGGTCACTTTATAGGAGAGAGGAAATCCCAAAATGACGGAAACTATGCGCTAAAAAACCAGGACTAAGGACGTTGAAATAAAGAGGGGCTCTTACCTTTTAAACCATTGAACATATTTGGTGAAATTCGGTACAGCGATAGTTTGAGACCCGGGAAAGGACATCTAAAAGTTTTTAACCCGAAAAACCCACGAAACCGGGAACTATGCTGTTAAAATCACTATATCTATTTGATTGAAATGCGATGCAACATTGATTTGCAAACATAGAATAGTGAAACCTCACGAGACGGGCACTGTACGGGTAAAACCTCTATGGGATTGTTTATTATAGAAACCACGAAAATAAATTCATTTCTCAATAAATATAACCTAGGTACTGAATCGTTTGTGATGATATTTGTTCCAATTGTACAGCCGTAGAATATACCTTGACAAAGACTAATTTAAAAACCCAATTTATACAGAAGTCGCTATTTCACGCGGACGAAGTCGCGGGTAACAGCTAGTTATGCTATAATTATCGACTGACTGTTACTCATCATCAATGCGTACAATAACGGTGTTAAGAAGTTGTGAATCTACAATTCTTAAGAGGTAAAAACTTAGATAGATATTTTAATGTGTTGAGGTAGGTACTAAACTAAGATTCTTACATTAATTAGACACCACTGACAAACGGTGAAGGAAAACGTAGTGAGGAAACATGGGCTTATAATTTTAATTACAAATTTGCATTGTGCAAGCGCATTGAGCAAGCGTGGTGATTAATGCTCAAACCTTCTCCGTGTGAGAAGAGGCTTTGCTAAGCAATGCATTTATAGACAATTAATGAGGTTCTGAACATAGATTTCCAGGAGATTTATCAGCTTAATCTAACTATTGTTAACAGACAAACAGATAAGGAAAACATAACGTCAGAACATAAACATTAGTTTATGCATAAAAATTAGGTCAAATCGATATGTACTATAAGCCTAGACTGAACGCTATTGTAACAATGGCTATAGTGAAAAAGTATGCAAATATGTGCAGAACGAAAAAACCAGGCATGGTAATAATTCTAAGTAAATGAAAATGGATGTTTTCTCTCTCAATTTAGACTGTCTTCTTGGATCTCCAGTTCTTCAGAATCTGATGAACTGGAGACCCTGATAACTTGAGATCCTTACTACAAGTAAAACAAATTCAATAAATATAGTACGTATGTATTTTAACTGAAAAGGTTTTAGGACACTATTCTCCCAAAATACTAGTGTCCTCTACCAGAAGTGTTTTTCCCTCTTTTGTGATAAAACCGCTTTCTCTTCGTGCCAAGACCGGTTTTTCTTTTGCTTCGGTCTTGATTTAAAGCCTATATAACTACTAGTGCAACAGGTTTTATATCGATCTTAATTTAACCGAGATCGGAAATACTTCGTTAATAAAGTTCGTTGTTGTTGACATAAAAATAAATACTAATTGACTTTGTTTTGTAATAACTATCGTGAGACACGCGGGTTACTCACGTGAATATACTGAAAAAAGCTCTACTAGTTTCTAACCTCAGAGGAGTTCTTCCTCATGATTGACTTAAGACTTGATGATTGACATGATCGACTTGAGATCACTAATTGACTTGAGAAAAAATTTACACGGACTTGAATAATATATTATTTTATGATAAAGTTAATATACTACGATTTTATAGAACGAACGATTACTAAAGAATTAACTACGCATAGTCGTAGAAATAGCAAAATAAAATACTGAAATCATCTTTCAGCACTCAATCAACTTTAACTTACCTGACAGTGTGACCAAATAGAGCTTTTTTCTGTTTCCGTTCTCCATTATCTGCGTGGAAAAATATTTGGTTAATTGAATAGTTTTTCAGTTTAAGATAGGAATAGATAGAAGATACCTAAGTATTCTAGGAGGCGCATGAATAGAAGATTATTAGTTTTTAAGCCTATAGTGACGGCAATATGGAATACGCTCATGTCACCAGCTCCCTTTCCGCGGGTTTCTTATAAGCCAAATAAGGGAATAAAACTAAACATTTTTGGAAGACCGGACAACAGCTCTCTGATAAACTGCGACCCGTCTGTCAAGTATAGTTGCTGTGACAATCTCTCTCATATAGAGGAAGCCTATTTTTTCATGGGACAAGCCGGTAGCAGACAGATCACTGGATGGTAAACAGCGACACTGCCCATGGACACCCATCAGAGGCGTTACAAGCGCGTTCCTGGCCTTTTGAGGATTATTGGGGATTCGGAGATTGGGGAGGTCTAATTGGGCCTCCGGTAACCTCAATCACGCGACGAAACACAACGAAAGCGTTGTTTTAAGTCGGCTTTCTCTGAGGCCGTGCCGTTCGCCACTTTAGTCCAGAGTCCAAGAGTGTCAATCCTGTATGTACCTCTAATACGCAGTACTGGTCTAGTCGGCATCATAGCTGTGGATAACTTTAACGGGTTACCGGGGCTCCGGTTCAAAGCAGGTTTAGGAAGGAGGTGGTTTTTAGTCAGTAAGAGTCTGACGCTCCCTCTTGCCTCAACCCAAAGCGGGAGAAGTCATTGGATGATTTTCCCCTCTTAAAAGTTCTTATTATTGGGCATGGACAAAAAACCGTTCGTATCGTTTAAGCTACGTTACTGTGTAGAGTTAGTCATACATAGAAGAAAATAATGTATGGTGTTTAAAATAAAAGTTAACTTTACCAATCAAGATTTAATAATAATTTCAGATTCAACACGAATCCGTAAATGATTCGGTACGAAATTTTACAAAAAGCTCGGTAGACTCTTCTGATACTGGAACGCGACTAGGATGTTAATTTTTTTTTACTGTCCCACACACCAATAACAAAATAATTAAGCTCTAAACAAACTCTGAATAATAGATAAATACCTACAGTACATTGTAATGTTTATTTTCACAATGTTCATAGTACAATAAAAATATAACAAAACATTAATATGATCTAAAGAACATGATGTGAAAGATCTTGCAACGCAAAGAGCTGGAACGCGATATCAAGTAGCGTAAAGTTCTAAATCCCATTGAAAGCCATTTGCCTTGCGAATTTGAACTCTATGTAAATCTCTTTTAGAATTAAATAGGTACAATCGATAAATTAACCATAGCATTATTAATACTATATTACCTTGGCAATGACAATGAACCCCGCAATCAGCGGTAGGAAACAGAAACAGTGGATACAGAACGACCGCAATGTCAAATTCCGCTTTTCTCAATCGGCCCCGGCCCAATGTGAGGTTATGTTTTGACTTTTATGACACCGATGGCGAGATAAGTGATTTCCTCGAACAAATAATGTAAACCATCTATAAATATATCGAAAATCCAGAACTTATAGAGGTCAAATCATAGGTAATTATTAAGGGATCATTTATCGTATTTCCATTTATTCAACTACAGACAATTTAACATCTAAACGAATATTATCTATTAGGTATTCCCTGTGTCCCATCCCATTGTGTTTGTGGAATTCCCGTCCCAAAGCTTTATCACTCTACATGTTAATGCAAAATAATAATAAATCGGTACTCACGCTCTTATCAATAAAGTGCGAAAAACTAAGCTCATATCTTGTGATTCTCTATGAAATATATAATTTAATTTTACAGAAACATTGTACACACAAACACTCGCGATATTTAATTTACATTTATGTGATGTTTTCGTATTTATTCAATTAGTTAACTAAAATAAATGCTTATGAACACGTCCGAGCTCGATGCTCGTTTGTTTATTACTGATTTGGAAATGGAATGAGTTTTCGATGCACAAGGACATAATGATTATAAAAAGCAGACAGGCTATGACACATAGCAATTTGCAATTGCCCCTTCAGACGTACCTAAGTATGCCGAGTACAATAACCGGCGTATCTTTGAGTTTTCAATTAGGAATTTAACGTAAACAACTACCAAATAGACACATGCGTAATCTGTACCTATATTATACGGATTATACATACTTAATATGAAGATACGTACATACATATTATAATTATGTAAATGTACGTTTTCCTTAGATGTTTTCAGAACCATCTGTTTTCGCTCGTATGCAAAGAAGAGTATTTTTGATATTCGTATAAAATTGAAGCCTTACATCTGGTCTCTAAACTTAACACAGCTCATCACAAACAAAGACTTTTGCTACCTATATACCTATACCTCCGCGTTAAATAAAATATGAATGACAATAAAATAACACCAAACCTCTAGAAATCTAGATTAAAAGTGCACAATATTTTATGTAATAGCCGTCTTCAGTAAGTGATGTTTTAAGTCCGACGTCATAGGAGGCGAGCCCATTACCATACACTGTGCTCAAATCCACAATAAAAGAAGTCGAAATCCAAACATCCCGAGGCCCCCTTTTTTATTTTAATTTAATGGGAGAAAATCATCGAATGACTTCTCCCGCCTGGGTGAGGTGGGAGGGAGTGTCAGACTTACTAACTAAAAACCACCCCGTTCCTTCTCCTGCACGTCGAGCCGGAGCCCGTTAGGTTCTCCGCGACCCGAGGGCCTCTTTAGGTGCTCCCACACAGCAGTTATACATAACGTCATACCTCACTGTGTAACACGATAACATTTATAATAGCGTGTAACATACTCTATACATCATGTCAAGTTTTTTTTTATATTTGTTGGGCCCTGTTCCACCTCTATCTCGCCTGGTGGTAAGCGATGATGTAGTCTACGATGGAGCACGTCGTCCCATAAGCAATCTATACAGTTACTACTAAAACTTTTGTTATAATTTGTTTAAAAACAAATGTTCAGTCAGTCTCTAACGTTATGTAACTGCTGTCACATTTACTCTACAGTCGTGCTTACAGCCGCTCAACTAACGAGGCATTCTTATCTACCCATTTATCCCCAAGCGGTCACCGGTGACCGCTCTCCACTAACTACATTATAGACCATATTTCCGATGTTTAGAGACTACTTTTGTAGTAACTTCAGGGGATGATATTTCATCTCCGATACGGAACCGCGGAAGGCCCAACAGGTTGCCGGGGCTCCGGCTCGAAGAGCAGGAGTAGGTAAAAAGGCTGCACCTTTTCATGATATGCGTGCACAAACGCACTGCCCTACAGACAAATAGTAAATACATATGTTAGAGAAGAAAAACGGAAAATAAAAATTACACCACAGATATGCGTCCAAGCCTAAATATCAACCCTCGTGTTACATAATATGTAAAATTGTTTCATAAACTACGTTCAAAAAACCGACTCCAATCCCCTCTTTTTTGAATTGGTTAATTAAATATACCAAAACCTTCTCCTATATGTAACAAACACTGTTCTGAAAACCGCATCAAAATCTGATCAACCAATCGCGAGCTAGTCGCCCAAAAATATAGAGGTACATACATAAATAAAAATAAAAACCTAAGAACCTTCTTTTCTAAGTCGGTTAAATAAAGGTTTATCCCAATGATAACAAATGCCCAATCCTAGATTAAAACCCACCACGACCTAATCAATCGATGACCGTTACTAACATTAATCAATCTAAACCTAAACCCTCTTATTAATAAACATAGAATAGAGTAAGAATAACTTTACTCCATGGTATAAACTCAGAATAGTCAAATTCGGTATTAATAAACAAGGAGTAACGTCGGAGTAAGCTATTCCAACGTTAGTCTGAGAATAAAAGTTAGTCCATGGTGCCACATGGTTTAGCGACGGTGTAAGCTTGGATTAGTGTCATTTTGACATTTTGTTGATAGATATTTTTTTCTTCTTTATTGACAACCGAGTTTCCATCGAGTTTCCAATATGGTTTTGATGACCAGTATCGAGTGGTGTACGGCATTATCAGATAAAACCTATTTTATTATAACCTATTTCCTTGCGTTGCGGCATTACTAAGTATATAGGTACGAGACTAGCTATACCCCACGACTTCGTCCGCGTATTATAATGCCTTCTGGCAGAATGTGGATTTTTGAATAAGTCTTTTCCGAGGTTAATTCTAATGCTTTTTAACAATTATTATCAAAATCGATTCAGTACTTGTTATATTTATTGTAAAATGAATTCTTTTTTTCAAAAAATAAGCATTCGCACATGGGTTTTATCCGTCATTCCAGTGAGTTATCAGTGATAAAAATTATTTAATGTCCTTTACCGGGTTGCAAACCACTGTTGTACCGAATTTCAATAAAATAGGTTCAATGATTTAAAAGATAGAGTTCCGGAATATTAACACATAGGACCTTTGCCGTGGAATTTCCGGGACAGAACTATTATCTTTCTTATTTATAATATTAGTGTAGATTATAAGTTACTAGCTATTGTCCACTGTTTCGCTCGTGCTCATTTATGGAGTTAGGGGAAGATTTGTATAAATATGAAGCCACTAAGTTTTTTGTTAGTTACAAATAGTCAAAATACCAATTTTAATCTTTCTAACTTGAAAATTGTGAAACGCTTTGTATAAACCCACCATTTTAGGGAAGCGGGGGGCTAGAAAGAGATAGAAAGTAGCCCATCTCACTTTCTATCCCTTCAAGTACCTATCTCAACTTAAAAACACGTCAATTCGCTTTGTTTTGTCACGAAAGACGGACAAACAAACAGACACACACACTTTCTCATTAGTATGGATTCGATTTTTATGTAAAAACGCAACAACTTTTTTACACAAAAAGTTATACTATCATTATAAAACGTGGTAAAATGTATAGATATTATTTTTATTCAATATCTGAGTTATTGAGAGAATTAGAGTTGATGAGATTAGAGATGATTACAGAAGTGTGTATGACTAGCTTTTCTGCCAGCGGCTTCGCCCGCGTTCCCGTGGAATAAAAAGCCTTCGTATTATTTTAGAGTTCCAGACCATAATAGACCCCTGTATCAATTTTCATCTCGATCCCTTCAACCGTTTTGATGTGAAGAAGTCACAAACATACAAACTTTCGTATTTATAAAATATTAGTAAGATAGAGGAACGTGAAGAAGAAGAGAAATCAAAATACCGATTTACTGCAGTTTTTATTATTGACATGGTAAAAATAATCTAGCTGGTGACGCCAGAGGTGGCTTTATACCACCCTATTTGAAAGTTTTGAGTGCAATCGGAACATAGGCCCATGGAGAGGTAAATATCAATCCAAGTGGCCTGTTGCCTTAGCTTCTTGTTTTCGAGCATTGATCTTCATGGCTTTCTACTGAATTTTCAGCTGATTTAACTCACGTCTGCTATTCAACTCGTTAAACCTAAAAAATACATAAAATGAATGTAAATATGATAAAATGTAGCTATGTTTAGCCAAATAACTGTACAGCATTATGTGATTCAGATACTATAGGTTAACATAATATACACTGCCCACATATTCGGCTGCATCTGCATGCTTATTATCTCTGAACAAAGATCTGAACAAATGGAATAAAATAAAAATGCTGAAAAAATCTTACCTTGTATAGGGTATATTTATATTTCCTCCCACTCTTTTATCTTGATTGTGTTGGTGTTTGTGCTTAACGATTTATTTTCAATGATTTGAAAATATTATTTTGGAACCGAGGCGTTATAATTTTATGGCTGAAATCTAAAAATATATAAACAATATGAAGACATTTTTTCTTTGTTAAGATACGCCATAATTAACAGGCATCGGGAGTATTTACCTTTTGTTCTTTGCGCTAGTTAATAGCGCGGCTGTGCTTTTCGCTCGTTTTTCGTTATTTATAAATTGAATTGTATATTAATTATGTAAGTAAACAAATTAATAATTTTTCGACAAAACTGACAGCGACAGCAACTTGTCAAGATGTCAAGCTAACATACATCTGTCAATAAAGCAGTGATTTCATAGGTTTTATACGATTTCATACCTCCTTCTCAGTCTTTTTACTTTTAAAATTTCTGGGTTACCATAATAAAAGGATTAAACCTAGTCTAAGGATAGTATTGTTATTCCGAGGTTATTCCATGTTTATTAATAGGAATTCAATTCTGAAGTTAATACTTTGTTAGTCCGGGATTAGCTAGTCCAAGACTAACCTGTGAATAAGTTTGGAATAGGAGATTTTTATTAATAAGACCGAAAGAGTTTAGCCCCGACTTATCCAAAATTTTCCGAAGTTTGCCTAAGTTAGAATTTAATGAAATTAAAAATTATTTATATAAAGCGAAAGATGTAAGTACCTATGTTTGAAACTTCGATTTTGACTATTGTAAGCTTTATTGGAATCGGCCAACGTAGCAAGGGTTGAGGCGTCATGCACGTACATAAATGTCCTACAGTCGGTGGCGCTGTGTTTTGGGTTGTTCCGTTCCCAATAAAAAGGTTGACCGGACTAATTGCTGACACACACGTCATACTCGTGAACGGGTGCCTTCTGCTGGCTCAGGTCGACTCTCCCATCTTGTTGGTGGGCTAATTTCGTAGAGCCGTCGAAATAGATATAGGTAAATAAATAATAGGTACCTAATTATTATGTAATTTATACTTTTAGTAATAATTATAGATGTGGTTAATTGTATCTAGTGTGTAACTAGGTACCTTCTTTACTTAATAAAAATTAATTAGACGTATTGTAATAAAAAAATGTATGACAAGGGCACGGACCGAGAGTCCGTGGAGAATTAATCTGTAACATTATAATAAAAAAAACTTTGATTATATCTGCCTACCCTAATGGAAGATTGAGGGCTTGACGGTATCTATGAACGGATTTTAGTTATCACTAAAGAAAATTATAATAATATCATAACTACCTTTACGATGTACGAGGAACAGAAAGCTCTATAAACCACAAACTTTTAACTAATTTAATTCCTCACAAACTTTATACACTGAACCCTGCGAATACGCAGATGTTACCAGTTAAAAGGGCTACAGTACACTAATTATAAAGCCAACGTTGTTTCACTTTTATATAAAGGTAACCTTCCCAAAAGCAATATCTCGATGCCGCCGGGACTTTTTTGATGAACTCGCCTTTGAAAGTCCCTCACAGTGGCTTATGAAGGCGGGGCACACCGCTATCATGTACCATGACCCTAAATTGTTTTATCTTGTATTGATTACTATACTCGTTAGATTAGTCACATTATAATTTACACCTTGCATACCTTTATAGCCAAAGTTACCAATCTTGATTTGTTTTTTAGAGTTAGGGTTGGTCGGAGTTCAACTCGCAATTCGCCGGA